GTCTCTCAGAAACAGTTCATAACTTCAACTCATTCCAGTCACCTAAAAGGTAAACCTCTTTCTCCATCACCTGTTCAGCTCTGATGATTCAGTAAGGACATCTCCTGGTTTCATCTTCATGTTTCCCTCGCACAACATGTCCAAACCGACATCATGGCCAGCAGCTTTTACAGCTGTGGCTCCAGCAAATATCAGCTGATACTAGAAAGTAATATTAAATAAATTCTAACAACAGCTGATCAAGCTTAAACGTGCTGCTGTTGTTTACCGTGACATCTGCTGGTTAGAATAATTAGAAAAGTGCAGATTGTGCATTGTACCTGTGCATTAAAAAGTAGACATGTAACTTCCAACAAGTTAGTATATATATAAAGTGAGAAAAGTAATGTGCAAGTTATAACAGTAGTAGTTATTTGGTTGATTAGTGCAAATTACAGCGCTGATGTAAACATCTATGTTTGTTGGGAGCAGTATTGATTGTACAGTCTGACAGCTGCAGGGAGGAAGGACCTGCAGAAACGCTCCTTCAACATACAACACTGTAAAAAATTAAGGATGTCACCACAGAGTCATTAAAGGTCTTTAAAAGCACTCCCTGGAATCCAAATGATCTCAGCCACCTCAGTAGCTAGAGTCTGCACTTCAGTCCAATGTCCACTCCCTGGATGTTCACTGGTGTCATTGTGGTGGGTCTGCATTTTCGGAAGTCCACCACCAACTCCTTGGCTTCCCGGTGTTGATCAGCAGGTGCTTCTGCTGGCACCAGTCCACAAAGTCCAGAGTCCACTGTCTGTACTCTGAGTCGTCCTCACCTGTGATGAGGCTGACTATGGCAGAGTCGTTGGAGAACTTCTCTAGGTGGCAGCGTGGGGAGTTGATGGAGAAGTCTGCAGTGTAGAGGGTGAAGAGGAACGGTGCCAGCACAGTTCCCTGTGGGGCCCCTGTACTGCAGACCAGCGTATTAGACACACAGCCCTGTGTCCTCACATACTGTGGGTGTCCTGTGAGGTAGTCCACGCTTGCTGGTTACATTGTAACCTTGGTTCTCTGAGTGAGAGACTCTTTCCACCTTTGTTCCGCTCAAACTATCACCGGTGTCACATTTGCACAGCTGTTTTATACGTGAGCTGTGGGGTGTGGCCAGGCTAGCCGGAGTCTCTTTTTTTTTTCTTTTTTTTTTTTCTGCCTGTCCCATTTGGTTCTTTAGCCATCAGAATTGTTGTCTGAAG